TGAGACGTCACGAAGGCGACGCCATTATTCGATGCGACGATTGACTCACACGGGAGCACCGCCTCCTCAGGACGCCGCATGATAGATGAGACCCAAAAAACATATCCGTAATTGAGATTTCTATTACAGAAATTGAAAGCGATCAGTTTTTTCATGTTTGTATACATAACGTGAGTGGCGTTGGCGACAGAGCGCTATCGCGTTTCGGAAGTGTTCGCGGACGTCAATTTGTATATTGTCATTATTAGACTTGGCGCGGAAAGTTTGGGTGCGTTCATCCATCATGGTGTGACGGGCGACCGGTCCGATATCGCGCCTAATACGTATTGATTTCCCACTTAGCGTTTTTCTTGGGAATCGCGGCGCTCCACCCTTCCGCCGTCCGGAGGCCTAACGAGCTGTTTGTCCTCTACTTGCTACAACTAGGGCGGCTGTCGCTCTATGCTTTGGCGTCGCCTAAATTACTAGTGCTGATTATTAAATTATCGACAGATAAACATTTGGGCAAGACATTCTAATTCTATCTATCTATACTACCTGGTGCAAATTTACTTTAAAAAAAATTGCTTATCTAGAAAGATACGTGTGTTTTCAGTGTACGTTTATGGAACACATACAAGTGTTTAACTTTCACTGACACAATGTATAGGGCTGAAATTAATTGAAAATAGAATTACGTATTTTTATGTTTATATATTTTTTACGTTTATGTTACATTTCTGAGACCGTGAGGACCGTGAGGCCAAAAAGATTCTACATTATTTTGTATTTTGTGTGACAGTGCACGCAAATAATGTTCTATTCTGATACGAACGATGTCGGTAACGAGGAAGCTCGTATGAGATATGATGTAAGCAAGTGAAATATTTGTGTAGGTACATTTGCCTAAATGCTGTAGAAAAAGATTTCGTCACCAAGGTCCCCGGTGGAGGTAGAGGGGGGAGGCGAGAACAATGGTTTCGGTTCTCACACGTGTGGAGGATTATTTGCATTCGGAAATAAAGAGAGGAATGATAAAAGAAAGGCGCGAGCGAGGTCCCACCGCCTCAGGGTGGGGTGTGGGAAATAGGAGACAGGGGGAAGGGGTGCAGGGGTGGCACAGTGGAGGGGGTGGGGGCTCGTTACGCGAACAATGGAGAAATAATGTACAGATTGCAGTGAGCGATGCGCCCAGCGCGACTCAGGTGTCTTAGCTCAGTGTGTGGACATCACGCCTCCTGTGCTCCGCGTAGCGAGCTTTATCTATGTTTGTAATACATAAGCGCCGTGACAGTAAATAACTATTTGTATGCTACAGCACCCGCTTAAGTGGTGCTTGAAATAATATCTGCATTACTTAATGGGATATTTTATTTATTTGACCGCAAATATGCTATGTAAATTGTATAAAGTATTTCGTGGATACGATAATTACAGAGCGTAACCGTGTTATGAGATCTTTTAGTATGGACTAATAAAGTACAATTACAAGATATAAAACTGGTTTGTAGGCTGTTAACAGTTAATTTACAGAGAATTAAATAAAGTTCATGACAACTCTGTTTGGAAGTCATAAAATACATTATCAACATAACAATGTCCAAGCATAAAGTGTAAAGCGACGTTTTAATGGCACCAGCTAGCTGGGCTACGGGGCAAGGCGGGCAAGGCGAGGCCGTTTAATATAGGACGTGTTCATAGGAAGCGCAAGCAATCACAACACAATCACCCCATCCTCGCGTGACACCGAAAACGTCCTCGTTCATATAAGTATAAATTAATCCATTTAGACCGAGCGACCGGCACCGACGGCGACCGACGATTAACGGAAGCTTCTACTTAACTAATTTATCCTCGGGTGGTTTTAACAGAATGGATAGCAGTGATTACGGCCGATGGCGACGATCTCGTGTGACGCTCGAGTCGCGCCGGAGATGCGCGTACGCACACATGGGTGGACCGCAATCAAACGTTATTCGTTACAATTGTTGGAAGTATAACGCGGTTTAACAATGATGAGGATCGATCACATGGTATGATGGTACTGTTTTGTAACGCAATTGTTGTCTCTACAACTTTGCTTCTTTAAATTTTGTTATTGCTTACATGCTTGTAAACCATTAGGATGAGTTAATGTACCTTACTGAATTCGAACAAATCAAAGCAATTTGTATCATCCTCAAAACTCGTTTTAAGATATTTATCTAACAAATCAACCGCAATAATTCTTTGAAATTCAGAGGACATTATTATTCTAAATCGGCTTTACTATAGTCAAATGTTTGTAATCCAGCAAGCCCGCGACATTTTAATAACATTGATCAAATAGAACAAAAGTATGTGGACCGAGCACTCGACAGAGATGAAAGTTAAAAGGGTCGCGAGGGGTGTGTAGGGGGGTGTGGTGAAAGGGGAGGAGCGGGTTGAATGTCTTATTCCCTCCACAATTCAGAGGTATTTCGTGTTCTTCATACGCAAATATATCCTCGTTACGGAGATACACGTGAGCCTACGATTGCGAGTGCGTCTAGTATGGAAACCCCTGGCGAGTAAGTGCGACTGTGAACCGTGGGAATTGCCCCAGTCACAAAATTGGATTCAGTAATCAAATGGCGAATTGGACAAACGTAGCGTCGTTATCGTCCGAGACTCGGTGACACAACAGGAAACTTTATTTAAACAAACTGGTCTATCTAGACTAGGGGTAACAAAGTCTGCTTTGTGCAGGCACTAATCTTATTACTTTGATGTTTAGATAACATGCGTGTTTCATTTTGGAATTCCTATGCGATTTGATGCCATGTACTTGATACTTATTACACGCTAATAACAACTAACAAGGCATATCTAGTCATCCTAGAAGACCCTAGACACTTTTGCTACTTGATAGATTGTTGCGATTTCCACAATAATAGATATGTACTACTTAGGTCGAATTTTAAGTAGTCGTATTTACAACAATTAAGACTGACGACGTAGTTTATTGACTATGAATATATCACCAAGTTACCTAATTGAAGAATGATACCTATCCAGACTATTGCAACCAGTGAGTTACAATTTCTAGAATCAAATAGATCTTCTTTAGATAAGTTGCTAAATTTAGAAGTCGATGTCCAAAGATCGCGTTTGACTACAGCGGAATGTTCTAGAAAACAACGCTGTCAAACATGACGCCAGTGAAACGTTTACGTTTTGAATTTTATAAACCTGTGGATTTTACTGGAGTGTTCATGGCCAAAGTCTAAACTTTAAGCGTTTATTTCATGCCATAACACTTCTGAATATAGTCAAAAATAGGGTTGTTCGATAGCATGTTAACTTTAGAAGTTGGACGTAATTAACTTGTTACATTTTTTAAAGAGTTCGAAAGTACGAATAATTTACAGAATACATATACGGTTTCCTGCTACAGTTGTTGGTAAAAAAAAAATAAACGAAGAAAATAAACCACCGATTGCTATTACCTAATCGTAAGTATAACTGGAATAGTTTAATAATTGGATTAAAAAAAGATTATAACGAGAGACTAGAAAGTTGGATGCGAACAGTGGTTAAAAATTTTCGTAATGAAGATGACTAAACAAACGATTGACGACGAAATCATAAAAATTATGATGGTTGCTCCATAGAATATACTTTTCTGCTTTACATTATCCGATTAAATAAAAACGACGTAATCGACGTCATCCTAATTATAGTAAAAGGAAAATGTTGATTATCAATAAAATCTGTTTGTAAAAAAACAACGGTTATTGTCTCTGTACTGAATGATTCGTCATCTGACTGTACATAACAAAGCCTATAATTTTTCTTTTAAGTAAATTAAGATACAAGACGAATGTCTCAATAGTACAATGTCTGTGGCCACGCGGCTGCCGAGCACGTGGTTTCGAGTTCGATCCCATAATTATCGCGAAAAGAATTATGGGCCTCCGATTTCGGAATTCTCAGTAATAGAACATCGAAAAATTTTATTTTCTTATCTTTTAATAAATATTGTTACTATAATGTGGTATATTGTAAGTACCTGTGCCTATCCTTTTGGAAAATAGCAGGTGTGATGTTATGCTTAGCTGTTAAGTTATGTGTACCTTTATCTTTGCTGTCTAAAGTAAAGAGCAACAAAAAATCTAATTAGACAAGACTAGTAACTTATCTTTTAAAAAATAGGATTGGACCTATAATAATATTTTTGTCAATCAACTGAATACAATTTGTTCATAGAGTAGCCTCAACTTGTCTAACTTTTCAATAAAAAAATATCTTGATAACATAATAATTAAATAAATTGTTAATGTTAATAATTCAATCAAGTATTACAATTCAATATATGGGATGTTCAGGATGGGTCTATTACCTTAAGTACAAATGAAGCAGATAAATTGAGAATCGTAATAAAGAAAATATTGTTTTTTTTTAATACACAAGCCCGATACTCTTTCCCAAAACTCCAGCCAGGATCTACAGTAGATACAACCATGTTCAGAAAATATTGTTAGAAAAATGTATAATAATAATATCTTTAAAAAAGGACTTACATAATTTGTGTTACTTACAGAATGTTGTAGCTTTATTAACCGAGTCATTGCTTGTTTGCTAATATGCCCATCTAAGCAAGACTCAATTTGTTACCATGTCACATATTTCAGCGGTTTAGTATTAAATGTTTTAGTCACAGAAATAATTGAAATACATACTTATAAAATTCTTGAATATTACTTACCCTTAGACGGTACAAATGTAGAAATAGTTATTGTTAATTGCTCTGAGATTCAATTAGGGTTAAGAGGATCGTTTGCTGTGATATTGTGTGCGGTTTCAGACCAAATCAGACAAACAGTGGTACATCAAGTTTAATAATGATGATGAAATGTAATGTAAACATTTGCTAGTGTTTTTCTTTACAATACTGCTATTGTATGTGTGAATGTGTGTATGTGTAAACACATAGCTTGACCTTGCTTCTAATGCAATAAGACAATTATTAGTGCTCTCATCTATTCTAACATAAAACTTACCTCATTCTGGTCAAGTTCCTGAAGATATCTATCATTGTGCTGTTTCTCATACATAGCCCGGGCAAGAGCACTTCGGGGTCGATAGAACCCATTGACTCCTGAACCGCTCGTCATTTTGTCTACGTTACTGCCACGCACTTCTACACCAGCTTGTAAGTACTTCGGACTTAAATTACTGATTCCATCTCTTGAAGAGGATTGTTGACAAACCTTCGTATGATAACAGCTCAGATGAGATTTATATTCAGCTTCAACAGTCAATATGCAATGGATAAGGACTGTGTAGCATACAAGTCTAATAGTAAGGTGCATTTAAGGAGTTTAGCATTGTTTTTTTAGTATCTTCTGAAGATCAATCAATGCCAATGATTTTTTTGAAATAACCTCACTTATGTTTTGTTTCTATGGCATTTATTACAGCAGGCCTCTTTGACTCATTGTAGTTAAACTTTTTAGATCATAATCCTAACACTTTTTTGTATAATTCGTATAAAAAAATCTATAAAAACGATCAAAACATTACTTTTTGTCTTAAATGTCAAATTTAATTCTGTCAGACGTCGCTAGAGGGACAGAAGTCCAGTGTGAGTATTTACGAAGTTGGATACCGACTACCGTGCTATATATTGTTTGATACGAAATCTGTATCTGTTATTTATTATGGTATATCAATTAGCATAGTATTGAACAAAGTATTTATCAACGAAACACTTCAATTCGAAAATTCTAAACAAAATAAAGGCGATTTATACAAAAGAAAATAAATTTTGAAAGCATTATAGCATTCTCCGTAAATGCTTAACGAATACAGTTTTCATGGGAAATCACCTAAGTATTTTAAGTGTGCTTTTTTCATTCACACACGTTGTTTTACTCTAATTGAAATTTTATTAAAAATATATACCTATAATTTTTAGATCTTGGTACCTACCTACCTACACAAGTAAAGGCAAGCAGGCGCCAAGTACATTGAGCTACACGGAGCTGACAAACCTCGTTGATAGCATATTGAACTTTAACGCTTTATGATAAAGTCTAGAATGTATTGAAGATATTTGACAGATTGGGTAGCTTTATAAGCTGGCGTCTCTACAGATATAGTGCATTAATTAAAGATCAATAAACTTCTATAACATAAATTTCATAGTACTAACCGTATCTTGTTTAGCTTCAACCGAAGCCTTTGCTACAATTTCTCGAAGCACCAAATTCATCATCTTTCTTTCACTATAGTGGGTAACGGTTGTCCAATATAGGTCTTAGTCCAAATAAACTTGCTACGTCAACAGTTCTGGAGAGCTACTGAAGCTGATATCAGTCACAACAGTACAAAATTCACCCACTGTATTTATGTAAAACAAACTTCCCTGAACGCGGTGAAAGGCTATTTTAATTATTATTTACGATAAATAAGTCAGAATTTCAGTTCGGCCTTGGCCGTGACCGACCGTTCACTGTCTCAACGCTGCGCTTGACCACCTCCGATACTTCGGGAAGCCGTTATACTTAAGAACTATTTTTATTGTGGAAAGGTTTACTTCATTTTGTAGCAAGTACCTGTTTGCTCGCCCATTGTTAGCCAACAATTAATTAATCTTCTATTGTACCGAATAGCTATTGAGAAGTTTTTTAATGAAATTGTGGTAACTGAGTACCTACGTATAAATTACCAAGCTCCTAGGCCACCTAGTACCTAGTCATTATGAAATCTTTGCACTAGATTTAGCTGACACGTACTTCCCTAGATATACAGTCATTCATTACTAAAATTAAAGGAACTCGATATTTCTCTAAAGTAGTTCCTTTGGTTGGTACACGACAGAAGAATGATTAATTACAAGACAGATAAGAATTTAGTAGGTACGGGTAACTGTAACTGAAGCTGTAAGGGGCACCTTGGTAGGTACCTATATATCTAATTAATGAACATGCCTTAATTATATTTCAACAATTTAACGTGGCAGCAATGATCAGACAGACATTAGGTGTTTAGGAGTCAAGGAGAATACCTGACTAACTCATATGTATGCTACTAATTTTCTACGCTACATGTGTATCACGTGGTCTATAAGAAAGCGAGATAAGAGCATGGCAACAGAACAACTTCACGTTTATTATGATATCGGTAAAATAAAAAAATAAAATAAGAATGAAAATAAAGCAAAGTACTCACACTGTTTCGGATAGTTGGCACTTTAGGCTGGAAATAACTCGGTCTGGACATTATAAAGAAAAAAAAAAATTAAATTCTTAATTTAAAAATTGACGTATATTCGATTATTACGATCGCCTTGAAGTGAGCGTATAGATAAAGGCTTTTGATATTAACGCCAATGCTAACATATTTCTTTATCTGCACAGAATTATAAATTCAGATAACAATGGCGGCTCTAGATAAATTTTATGCCGATAAGTTGCGGTATTTTTTCTTATTAGATGGTATTTAGGTGATATGTGTTGGTAGTTTGAGGTTGTATAACGTCGCCTGTTAAGTATTGCCCTGTAAACATGAATTTAAGTACCTAAATATACGAGTAGCTATGGTCAAATTAAAGGACTATTCGGTTGCTTTTTCACTGTAGATCTTTCATGTGCATAAATACTACGTAAATAAACCTACGCCTTTGTTTAAAAAAATATAGAGTACCGGTTAATTACGTCACTTATTCACATCTTTAGCTTCCATACATTCACGTATTTAGTCACGAATCTTTCACGTTTCCATAACCATCATCATAACATCATTACATCACGCCTTTTATCCCCGAAGGGGTAGGCAGAGGTGCACATTATACGACTGTACAATGTAACACCCACTTTTCACTATTTAAGTATGTTATGAGTCCCATGTAATAGGTGGCGAACCTATTGCCATATACCGGGCACAATTCCAGACTCCGTGCTACTACTGAGAATATTAAAAATATATACTATATATAACCAATATGGATTAATGATTCTGTGGCTGGTTGGACCTTAGGATCTCTCTATCTAACTTGTTGTTTTAACGAAGTTCTCTAGAGTTAATGAACTATAGGAAGGCTTAATGACTATAATACTTATTTTGTGGAGTGTAGTACTGGAAAAATGCTCAAAATAGAACGATCTCTATCGCTTCTCTCTGTAGATAAATACTTTATTGCATCGAACTATGCTGGAGATTTCGATACATTACCTCAAGTTTAATTTATTATCTTTAAGATCTAAACTGCAGATAACTTCGTAATTAGAAAATATTACAGGTCTCTACGTCGTCGACTAATTATAAAGGTCTATAAAAAGCAAAGCAGGTAACACAACATTAATGTTCCACAGCTAACTGTTTATATTAATAAATCTTGTTTGTAATAAGGTCAATTAAAGTTTATAAACGATATCGACCGTGTTGCAATTTGCTTTGTTTCATAATAATTCTAAATATCAAACAAATTCCAACAATACGTATACATGATGCCACTTTCAATAATATTTTAATTAAAAAAGTATGGACTGTTTAAAGTTTTGTTCAATATGGATTCTCAATCACGCGCGGATTGCCCGAAGCAATGCGTTGTGAGCGGGCGCATCGGCCCAGACGCACGCGGGACATTTAAAATAATTACAAGCCATCGGAGAAACGTAACAGCCAGTGTTTTGAGACCATTACTTATTTTTTAATTCAAAAAAATATTTTTAAAAGCACACACTTAGTGCTGTTTGGTGCAATGCGGTCAATAAATGAGACTATTACAAGTTTTTGGTGTAATTTTGTTGCACTCAATTTATATTATTATTGGAGCATTTTCGGTGAAATAATTGCACGGTGAAGAGGTGCAGTATGGGTGTCTTAAAGGTCGAAACCTTCCTCTTAAATGGTTTCTTTTAAAAGGTTGAGGAAATTAGATCGTTAAGGGTCTTGCATCCTGTGTGTAACTTATGAAGGTCATAAGATGTTTAGGATTTATTAAGAATGTACGAACTTAATACATAATTGTACATATGTATGTTCTTTGTATATGACAAGTTATTGAGTTGATAAAAATAGCTAACCCACTGCCAGACTGATCAATAAATCTCTATAACGACATAGAGGTGCATGTTGTCAAACCATTTTGTATGACACAGAATGAAACGAGCTATGAGCAATACATACAAGTATCTAAGTTATAATACTTACGTGCAATATGTACAAGTTTGTTTTATTTTAACCAATCATTTGTTCGTTTAAAAAGTAAGGTGCTCTGAAACAAAACCAAATGGTCGGTTTAATTTAAATCTGTGCACGTAGTTTTTGCACCCCCAACCGCATTCTCACAGAGCGGCCGAGACTTGATGCACTTCACTTCTGATTGGATCATTACCGAGTTCATCATACCCCGTGCGATCCTCGGGCCTAGACAGAGATGGATGTATCCCGGCCTCTAAATAAAGACAAAGACAAACACAACCCACCGAGCACATCGTTCAGAAATTATTTCATATCATGATTATTGGAACTTTATTGCACTTCGTAACTAACAATTGACATTAGGAAATGCAATTTCATATTGATTTCGTAATATCGTCTCTCGTTTATTTTTATCAATGCGGCAAATCTTTCTATGATTTGCGGCTAACCATCCTCGGGCATGTTGGTTGTTTTCTTGTGGCTTCACGTTCCGAGAAAATGTCATTAAAAGCTCTATAGGGGATTAAGCCGGTTTAAATTTTCACGTAGCCCGGCAGGAAATCGGTTTAGCCGTAACAAAGGGTGGGAAGATACCGAGAAATTATCTTTCGTCGGAATACAAACCGCTAAACGTGCAATTACAGCGTTACAGATGGAGCATTAAGTTATCAAAAAATAATAATGTTTCACACCGGCCGGAAGGTGTCGCTGGCATCACGTCCGCTCGCCACAATCACTCGCTCGTCACTGATTTTGATTTCGGCTCCGAATACACTCATTATTCATCACGTTTCTAATAAAATTCGTCAGTAAAGGCATCTGTTGTCTTGCGTAACCGCATTTATTGCCGTTAATGGTCCCTTTCTTAGGTAATGTTAATTTGTGTCGAGCAGCCGCCACTACAGTAACTCGATTCGTTTACTCGTGCGTGTCTACCACGAATAGATATCGCGCAAATATTCGTGACACTTCATTGAATAAATTTCTCCAAAACAGATAGTAGAAGGTGTATGCGTAAGTACCTATTGCGTAGGACCCTACTTGCTTTTAATTGCTCAGTTTCCACAATGCAAGCAACCTTGATGCAATAGGTAAGCTACCTAATTTGTGTCATTTGTGAAGTACTGTCGTAATATGACGATGTAAGGACGTAGTTAGGTGTCACCTATCTTCCACTGAAAACTACGTTCGATCCAATCTTATTGATTAACAAGATTACATATTAGACAGTAATCGACAGTGAATCGATTACCCCTAGTATCTCACCATAGCATTAGTCCATAGACCGCGGGCATTACCATCGAGATGGAAATGAATTAAACATAATTCGAATAATCGAGGCTCGGCCAATACAATAAAACAAAGGGAAAAAGTACGTCTGCGGC